AAAAAAAAAACCTTATCATTCAAATAAAGATTATTCGGAATTTCAAAAGGTAGAATGCATAAAAAGTATTTAAAATATGTATGTAATGTAATTATGTAATGTAAGGTACCGCGCAACATAAGATAATGCCGGACCTTATTTATCTTATGTTATGAAACAACAAATAAAAACTTTGTAAAAAATGTGGTTATAATTATTATAATAGGATCAAATCATCTTTTACAGGAAATAAATACAATCTATAACAATCTATAGGCGTCAGTATAAACAAAGGATGCTCATTAAAATAAATAAGGACGGAATAAAGAAGGATAGAATTTTCATAATAATTACTTTAAATGTTAAACATCAACATCTCCATAATAATATCATATGAAAGCAACCATTTTTAAATATTATTCAATACGTAAGAATTTATTCAATAAGAATTTTTATTCAATAAGAATTAATAATATATTGCTTACGAAACAGTTCTCGTGATTCGCATCAGGAGCATTTCACGTACTGTACGTAAATAAAGAAATAAATATTTTTTTTTTTCAAAGCCATAAGTAATTAACGGTTAAATAACTTAATATGCAAAGTGAAAAACAAAATATTTAGATCTTCCAGAGTGAAATTTTTTTTTTTGTGAAATTTTTTTTTTTTTCTTTTTCTTTTTTTTTTTACGTAGCAAGAACATGCGAATTAACGTGTACATGAATAAACATAAATTGGCGTGCGTGCTTTATTATTCGTGTATGATAAGAACATTATTAGTTTAACAAAAAAGTACGCAAAGAGTACGTAAAAAGTACGCAAAAGAGTACGCAGAATACGCAAAGAGTACGCAAAGAATACGCATAGTGATGAGGATCATCATATTACCGGTAATACCGATAGTACCGATAAATCGTTGATACATTCAAAGCACATTCAAACCATAATCAATACGCATTCAAACTACATTTTACACTCAATCGTAGATTGGTCAAGTGTTAATATTCGTCTGACGGACATGGTCACACGGACGGGAGGTGATGGTAAAACAACGGCATTAAAATAAAGAAGTCACGGAGAAAAATGCGGAGGTTTATATTTTTGTTTATTCTTGTTCATAATACAATTGGACAATGTTATTTATACATTAGTATATGTAGTATATGTAGTATATGTGGTATATGTGGTATATGTGGTATATGTGGTATATGTACATGTTGCATAAATAAAATCAAGGTTAATAATGTCTTTATTTTTATCATCATACGATTATTCATAAAATTAATCATAAATGATTTCACAAATTATTTCATAAATGATGATTCATAATATATTGATATTGCCGCCCAAATGCACACGCATGATTTCAGGCAATAAGTGTAAATATAGTTCACTTTAATACCTAACTCGACAACAATAGCATCAATCATAATATTGA